ATTTGGAATATGTTTATTCAATGTTTATTTCAATTGTTAATATGTTAGTCAATAGTTTAATGACAAAGAAGGCATTGCAGTAATGTATGGGGCTTGAAAGTGGTTTCTGTTCGGCGACCACATTTGCATATTTATCAGATCGTGACACCATGTTTATCGGAATGGTTTATCGTATGAATAATACCAGCTTGTATTTGGTGATTATATTTACAGAAGGAATATATCTCTAAATGCGGATGATCTCACTCTATATCCGGATTAACGTTGTGTCACTGTGGGTTTTACTGTTTTAATGTTGTTTTTAACCCACCAGCATGGTATTTGGAACTGACAACACGAAAAAGCGCCCGTGGTGTCATTGCTCTTAAAAGGTGTCCGCGGCTGGTAGCGAGTGAAGCCCCGGATGTTCCTGGTTTCCCTGATTTGTTTAATGGCGAAATTCCAAATCTCTAGGACAAAGTTACGTAAGTCAGGTATTTTTGATTTTGAGCCAAACATTTGCTTACTTGACAAAGGGGTAACAAGATAAACTGACTTGATAAGTTGCCGTCTATGACCTCGTATATACAGGTTTATGTGGTGCATAGACAACCAGACTCCCCGGGCAAAAGTCTGCTAGCATGACTCGCTTGTGGAAGAAAATCTTTCTGATGGTAAAAAGCCTGTTATCGCTCTGTGAACTTGTCTGTCATATTCAATGTGAAACCTGACTTAGCAGATACTTACTTAGAAGAGTCTACAGCTGAACTTGATTTAACAATGTCTTTATTCATGTCCACAGTTGAACCTCGTTAATCAGATACCTTTATTAGAATCTACAGATGAACCTCGTTGATCAGATACCGTCATTCATGTCTACAGTTGGACCTCGTTAATCCGATACCTTTATTAGAATCTACAGATGAACCTCGTTGATCAGATACCGTCATTCATGTCTACAGTTGAACCTCGTTAATCAGATACCTTCATTCATGTCTACAGTTGAACCTCGTTAATCCGATACCTTTATTCATGTCTACAGTTGAACCTCGTTAATCCGATACCTTCATTCATGTCCACAGTTGAAACTCGTTAATCAGATACCGTCATTCATGTCTACAGTTGAACCTCGTTAATCAGATACCTTTATTAGAATCTACAGTTGAACCTCGTTAATCAGATACCTTTATTAGAATCTACAGATGAACCTCGTTGATCAGATACCGTCATTCATGTCTACAGTTGGACCTCGTTAATCACATACCTTTATTAGAATCTACAGATGAACCTCGTTGATCAGATACCGTCATTCATGTCTACAGTTGAACCTCGTTAATCAGATACCGTCATTCATGTCTACAGTTGAACCTCGTTAATCCGATACCTTTATTCATGTCTACAGTTGAACCTCGTTAATCCGATACCTTCATTCATGTCCACAGTTGAAACTCGTTAATCAGATACCTTCATTCATGTCTACAGTTGAATCTCGTTGATCAGATACCGTCATTCATGTCTACAGTTGAACCTCGTAAATCAGATACCTTTATTAGAATCTACAGTTGAACCTCGTTAATCAGATACCTTCATTCATGTCTACAGTTGAACCCCGTTAGTCAGATACCTTCATTCATGTCTACAGTTGACCCTCGTTAATCAGATACCTTTATTAGAATCTACAGTTGAACCTCGTAAATCAGATACCTTTATTCATGTCTACAGTTGAACCTCGTAAATCAGATACCTTCATTCATGTCTACAGTTGAACCTCGTTAATCAGATACCTTTACTCATGTCCACAGTTGAACCTCGTTAATCAGATACCTTCATTCATGTCCACAGTTGAAACTTGTTAATCAGATACCTTCATCCATGTAAGGTCCGAAGTTCATACAATTTGGTATTCACCCTCTGAAGGTTCTTACTCCAATGAATTCACACAAGGTGAAAGTCATTTCTTGAAACATCCTCACTACTATAACTACAACTTATTGTGAAGTGTGTTTGATTATTAGGAAACAAAACCCCTGAGCAAAGAGGAATAAGGGATTATCTGTCACGAGTGAATTTCCGAACCTTGTTGGGGGAATTTCAACATTCATTCAGATAATCCGTTATTCCTGGTCGCGAGTAGGTTATTCTTCGCAAGGTATGACATGAACAAGAATATAATGTTCTATTTATTACCGAAGAAGATGTCTACATACAGAGACGAATTTTAATGTTTACCTATACGGACATCAAGTCGCAAGCTCAACCACATTCTGTCGAATGACGTCAACAATCTTCAACTATGACATCGTTTCAAGTGTGACGTCATTCCAACCTTACGTCACAATAAGATTCGAATTACGTCAACAAAATCGTCCGAATGACGAGACAATACACTGTTGTCTCGTGACGTGATATGACCCTGGGACACTTTTATTTTTTATGAACCCCGATATGTTTGCCCTCTGGGGTAATATTATAAGGGTAACGCTATTTTTCAGGGCATTATCATTTGCCGAAGCTCGAGGTCTTCCATTAACTGACCATTAATATGGAAACGTCATAGAACAAACCAGATGACGTCACTATTGAACATTGTTTAATACCAAAGCACGTACTTAAATGTACTGCCGGAACTAGTTCCGATAACATATATTGAAAACTTGCAACATCGCTGGGCTTATTCAAACACTACGACGCAGCATAACACCACTGCCACAGGCTAATTTGCATATCACGTGACCGGAATTTTCTCTTATTTGTAAACAATCGCGCTTATACTGAGATCAGAACAGATTACTATAGCCTAACGCAAGTATTTTGGGGCGCTTTACATGTTGTTTTGCATAATTATATAGATATGCTACTTCAACTGCGACACTGAGGTGCATGTATTTATACATCAAAGTGACCGTATACGCAGGGATTCGATGACAGCACGTGGCGACGTACAACCAATGTAAACATAGGATAACTGCGCAAATGGAAATAGTTTTTCACGTTTGAGGATATTTTCTCAATGAAAGTTAACCATTCTATGACATGCTTATCTATCTTAGAATCTACAGTTGAATCTCGTTGATCAGATACCGTTATTCATGTCTACAGTTGAACCTCGTTTATCAGATACCTTTATTAGAATCTACAGTTGAACCTTGTTAATCAGATACCGTCATTCATGTCTACAATTGAACCTCGTTAATCAGATACCTTCATTCATGTCTACAGTTGAACCTCGTTAATCAGAAACCTTTATTCATGTCTACAGTTGAACCTCGTTAATCAGATACCTTCATTCATGTCTACAGTTGAACGTCGTTAATCAGATACCTTCATTCATGTCTACAGTTGAACCTCATTAATCAGATACCTTTATTAGAATCTACAGTTGAACCTCGTTAATCAGATACCTCCAGAACAGATTAGCCTAACGCAAGTATTTTGGGGCGCTTTACATGTTGTTTTGCATAATTATATAGATATGCTACTTCAACTGCGACACTGAGGTGCATGTATTTATACATCAAAGTGACCGTATACGCAGGGATTCGATGACAGCACGTGGCGACGTACAACCAATGTAAACATAGGCTAACTGCGCAAATGGAAATAGTTTTTCACGTTTGAGGATATTTTCTCAATGAAAGTTAACCATTCTATGACATGCTTATCTATCTTAGAATCTACAGTTGAATCTCGTTGATCAGATACCGTTATTCATGTCTACAGTTGAACCTCGTTTATCAGATACCTTTATTAGAATCTACAGTTGAACCTTGTTAATCAGATACCGTCATTCATGTCTACAGTTGAACCTCGTTAATCAGATACCTTCATTCATGTCTACAGTTGAAACTCGTTAATCAGATACCTTCATTCATGTCTACAGTTGAACCTCGTTAATCAGATACCTTTATTAGAATCTACAGTTGAACCTCGTTAATCAGATACCTTCAGAACAGATTAGCCTAACGCAAGTATTTTGGGGCGCTTTACATGTTGTTCTGCATAATTATATAGAAATGCTACTTCAACTGCGACACTGAGGTGCATGTATTTATACATCAAAGTGACCGTATACGCAGGGATTCGATGACAGCACGTGGCGACGTACAACCAATGTAAACATAGGCTAACTGCGCAAATGGAAATAGTTTTTCACGTTTGAGGATATTTTCTCAATGAAAGTTAACCATTCTATGACATGCTTATCTAGATGTGTAGACTTGTCAAAAATGAAACAGATGAAGAACATATGCAATAACTTTAATGGACTGTGTAAGATGTGACGAATCGTCACATGCCGCTGGCCTGTGGCAGGGGTACTATGCTGGTCGCATGGAACTCTAAGGAGAGTGGACTTATTCAGTGACATTGCGTGTAGAGATGATTGATCACTGAGCTTAGCTAACACAAGCTTGACGACCCCAGCAATCCTGTTGCACGGCTGACGTCACATGACATTGTTTCCCCGGTGTATCTTGCGATAAAAATTCAAAAATTACGTCATATGGTTTTGTGACGTGTTTGTAAACTTTTTGGTGCTGAATTCTAAACGGAGGCCGTTGTATGGTAGTAAATTAATACGTGCCAACTTTTAATGTGTTTAAAGTTGTATTATTCTGATAAACTTACTTGAATTAAGCTGTGGATCGCGTCAATGTCAATTTACGCACGACAGTGAAATATTGTATTCATACGCTTGAGCTAGTTTATGACGAGAATCCCGATCAAATGAGGTTTTAAAAAATTATTAGCGGCAGGTTATAAATAAAATACGAAACTCGCTCCCGTATACTACTAATTGTATGAAAGTCGTGAACTCGTCAGATACCAAAACTACCACGGGTTTTATAACATTGGTAGCACACGGGAGCGAGTTAAGAATACTACATTTGTCTTAAATCTTGCTGTGAAACATTCCGTTTCGTAACACCGAACACTATACCACACGTGACAACACAATCGTGGAACAATGTACTGATAAGCGTCTATGCAGAGGAATACCAACATAAGGCAATTCATCTGGGTCACACTTCGGTCATTGTATATCGGCATCTACGCTCTTATCGTACACGTAAGTGTGTATTATTTTCACACTCACATATGGTGATTGGGACTACATAACTGAATGTGAGGTTAGTTCAATACTATTTTCTTGCAGTCAAATACTATTTGTCTGGTAAAGGGTAATGTTGGCTCAGTCTAGATTGGACATTAGTACAAGGTTGTTGGACAGTCTAGACGCAGACTGGATTCTGACACAAGACTGTTAGACAGTCTAGATTTAACCTGGATACTGGTACACGACCGTTATACAGTCTAGATTGATACTGGATACTGGTACAAGACCGTTAGACAGTCTAGATGGATACTAGATACTGGTACAAGACTGTTAGACAGTCTAGATTGATACTGGATACTGGTACAAGACGATTAGACAGTCTAGGTGGATACTGAATACTGGTACTGGACCGTTAGACAGTCTAGATGGATACTGGATACTGGTACTGGACCGTTAGACAGTCTAGATGGATACTGGATACTGGTACAAGACTGTTAGACAGTCTAGATGGATACTGGATACTGGTACTGGACCGTTAGACAGTCTAGATGGATGCTGGATACTGGTACAAGACTGATAGACAGTCTAGATGGATTCTTGTACAAAACCGTTAGACAGTCTTTAGATGGATTTGGATACTGGTACTAGACCGTTAGACAGTTTAGACTCAGACGTAGATGTGTCACAGGTACCAGATCACGAGAATGTCTAGTTATATCATGTCATTGTTCATAATACCCTGGGTATATCTCTTGGAATATCATTGAACTTGTATTTTCTTTTCTATCACAGACAAAACATGATTCTCTGCGTCGTCATTTCCGTGTCCATCGTCGTGGTAACTATATTTACCAAGTGGTTGATAGGGAAACAAACTGTTGGTAACTATGGTAACAGATATGTTCTGATAACGGGTTGCAACAGTGGCTTTGGAAACCTTCTGGCCAAACGTCTGGACTCTCTCGGCTTCAACGTGTTTGCTGCCTGCCACAGCGACAACGGTGTTGAAGAACTCGAAGCCGCCACGTCAAATCGTCTTGTGACCTTCAAACTGGAAATTGCTGATGAGGGCAGCATACGCGAGGCTGTGGAGTTTGTCAAGTCAAGGATTCCTGTAGGATGTGGTACGTACAGATACATACAGTGAAATATAGACGGGCTTGTTCACCAGTTGTATGTCGTTCTTATTCATAAGTTAACGTTGACGTTAAGGTTATGTATAAATGACGTTAAGGTTATGTATAAATGAAACGTAAGTCGTCTTCATAACCATACGACAGACGTGTGAGTTGAGTTTCCCCCCGTCAATTTGCACAGTATATGTTACCCGCCAGGAGAAAGGGGACCTTATGGTTGCTAGGATACAATTGTGCTGTGACGTCATAAAGAAAGCCGTATGACGTCACCTTACTCGTACTTTTCTCTCCTTAGTTCAAAATGTAATAAGAACATTTTTTCAAAGCATTTAAGGATTGACTGTGTATTTTTTTCGGTTCATTGAGGTATGAATCGAAAAACCAATGTGCAAACTGTATGAATCCGCGTAGCGGATTCTTACAAAAGTTTGCACATTGGTTTTTCGATTCATACCTCAATGAACCGAAAAGAATACACAGTCAATGCTTATAATTAAATTCGATAGCATAAAACATGTTTTATCTACAAAAGTTTAACCAAAAACAGATGTATATATCAAAACAGACAAAAATGACGAGATTGATAAACGTTCCAGGTGTAGGAATACATACTGTGGCGTGACATGAATCAGGTGATTGTTTAATTTATGCACATAAATTGACACGCCTACACTGTCAGTAGCCAATCAACGGAGATCAGGATCAAAACACTGTTCATTGGACCTGTCAGTTAAGACAGGAGGCGAAAAGAACTGCAACAGTCAGACTGTAACGAACTGGAAAAAATATGTCCGGGAGAAGGCGGCTGTTTCAAATAACATGGTCAGTTACCGCCAGATTCAAACATTACTTCCCTGATTACGGTAAAACACAGTTGGAAAAATGCTAGTTAGAAAGGAAACCCGAAGACATGAAAGTTGAACCGAGGCGAGCAGAAAAAAAACAGGTGAGCGAGCCTGCACGTTTGCTGTTTCATTCATTCTCGGCCATCGGTTTCAAAGGGTTGTTTGGACAATGCATATGCATGAAAGTCGCTAAATGTCCTGTGCATGACGATACACGTGAGCAGAAAGGGAATTCCCTCGGCTGTAATATTGGGATTCCCCGACATTCCGAAGTAATAAAAGTAGTGCGCCTCGGTGGGCGTGGCTTAATCTTTTACATTCATTGGGAAATGAATGCAATATCACGTGACCAATTCAGCTAATCAGAATACAGGAATTTCAATGAACACAACGAAACTTTAATTATTTCCGCATACATGTCAACTTTCAATTAATCAGGCATTATATCTAAAAACTGCAATTATTACATAAACAGTATGAGCCTGAAAATGGGAATTTGCAGAAAATGAGTCCAAATGTTGATGCCATAAATATGAATTGAAGCTGATCAAATGTATTTTTGTGGTCCTACGATTCTACAGTTTTAAAATATTGGAAGAAGCCAAAATGAGTTTTCACCCATAAGGTCCGTCATACTCTAAGGTGTTCCATCTTGAAGTGGGGGCACGGGTGGCCCAGTCGTCTAAGGCGCTGCGATTCGCTGTGCAGAGTTGCACGCCAGAAACCTATGATTGTGGGTTCGAATCCCGGTTCGCCCCGATTATGTTTCTAGGTTTGTCAGCACCATACCCGTGCTCGTGGGTTTCACCGAAGTGGTAAACGTCTGAGACCTGCATCACTTCGGGCTTTCCTCCCACATTAAGCTGACACGCCGTGATATGACTGGAATACTGTTAAAAGCGGCGGTAAACCCAACTCACTCACTCACTCACTCCATCTTGAAGTAGAAGGAGTTTGGTTTTCTGCAGCTTTTAGCAATGTTCCAGCAGTAGCACGGCGCGTACACCATAAGTTACCTTCACACAGTGTACCCGTGTAGGGAATCAAACCCGGACCTTCGCAATGCCGAGCGAACACTTGAACAACTGGGCTACCCCATCGCGATGATGTGAAAGGAGTGAGTGAGTGAGTTGGGTTTAGCGCCGCTTTTAACAATATTCCAGTTATATCGCGGCGTGTCAGCTTAATGTGGGAGGAAAGCCCGAAGTGATGCAGGGCTCAGACGTTTACCACTTCGGTGAAACCCACGAGCACGGGTATGGTGCTGACAAACCTAGAAACATAATCGGGGCGAACCGGGATTCGAACCCACAATCATAGGTTTCTGGCGTGCCCAAGGGACGCAATGATGTAAAAGGAAAAGTCTAAACTGACAGAAGAAGATCATTATCGATGCCTATCTGGGATTGGAACCCGTGAACCCAAGTTTCGATCTACTGTGCCAGAAATAAATGACCGTTGGTTCTAACCCAAGAATCGCTCTGATAACGATTAGTTGGTTTTACCATCACTGGGTGTTCTTCCCACATCAAGCTGCACTCCGTGATATATGACCCGTGAAGATTCCGGGGTAGAATAGGTCTTCAGCAACCCATGCTTGCCGTAAAAGGCGACTTTGCTTGTCGTAAAAGGCGACTAACGGGATCGGGTGGTCAGGCTCGCTGACTTGGTTGATGCATGTCATCGATCCCAATTGCGTGGATCGATGCTCGTGACGTCAATCACTGGATTGTCTGGTCCAGACTCGATTATTTTACAGACCGCCGTCATATAGCTGGAATATTGCTGAGTGCGGCGTTAAACAACAAACCAACCGTGATATAACTTAAATACCGTTCAAGCGGCGTTAAACATAACTCACTCACTCATTCACTGACTTCACTACATCCAGGGCTATGGGCGCTCATCAACAACAGCGGTACAGCCGCATCTCTCGGACCTGTTGATTGGCTGCAGCGACAAGACTACGCACACGCACTGTCTGTCAACCTCCTCGGCCTTGTCGACATCACAAGGTCATTTCTACCTCTGTTGCGTGAAGGTCAAGGTCGAGTTATTAACATGTCCAGTATTCTGACCAAAGTTGGTATGGGACCGTCACCATATGTGGTATCCAAATACGCGGTGGAAGGATTTTCCGACTGCCTCAGGTTAGTGAAACAACTTTGGAATAAGATCCACCGTGTACCCTTGAAAGGTTGTTTTGAGTCTTAGTCTACAGCTTCTTTTTCTCAACACTGAAAAGCCACAATAGTGCATGTATGAGAAGGGAATTAGCACATGCCTTTGCATGTGTTTGTGGCATGGGGCACGGATGGGGCAGGATACGCTGGCGAAACTCTGGTGCCATCACTATCTGATAGTAACTCAGAAACACATGTATTTTTTCGCTTATATTTACATCTATATGCGGTATGACATATCCGCATGTCTATTGTAATATAATGTGCCATGGTACCCGTGAAGATCCGGGGTTGAATAGGTCTTCAGCAACTCATGCTTGCCCCGAAAGGCGACTATGCTTGTCGTAAGAGGCGAATTACGGGATCAGATGGTCAGACTCGCTGACTTGGTTGATGCATGTCATTTTATCCCAATCGATGCTCATGGTGTCAGTCATTGGATTGTCTGGTCCAGACTTGATTATTTACAGACTGTCGTCATATAGCTGGACTATTGCTGAATGCGGCGTTAAACAAAAAACGAAACATGTACATGAGCCTGTGTGGTGATTCAGTATTGCGAGTAAAATACTTTTTTAGTTTTGTGTCTTTGAAATGAAGTTCTTCTGTGAGTGTTTTTTTAAACGGGACACAGGTTTTACAAATTTTAGAAAAAGGGGGTCTGTTTGTTATTTTTACGTTAACTTCAAAGGGCTTTTGCTGAACACCATCACCAGGGTAGATAACTCCTAACTGGTGTGTTAGAGTTGGCCCACAACTACTTTTGTGCTGTATTTTCCTAACTAAATATGCAACATCTGTGATGTTTCCGAAAACGTCTTTGATTGTTTGTTTGTTGTTTAACGCTGCGCTCAGCAATATTTTAGCTATATGACGGCGGTCTGTAAATAATCGAGTCTGGACCAGACGATCAAGTGATTGACATCATTAGCATCGATCCACGCAAATGGGATACGATGACATGCATCAACCAAATCCCGATCCCGTTAGTCGCCTCTTACGACAAGCATAGTCGCCTTTTACGGTGAGCATGGGTTGCTGAAGACCTATTCTACCCCGGATCTTGAAGGGTCGAAAAGATCTTTGAGGATGTTAATACCTACATATTAATTAATTATGTGTGAGTGGCGTTCACGTCTTCATTTCTCATTAAGCTCGTGATACCACTGAAATACTGTCAAGGCAATAACCCCATCTCACTCACTCGTCCCCTCAGGCTTGAGCTGTTCCGGCAAGGTGTGTCTGTCATCGTCCTCCAACCTGGCTTCTACAGAACCAACTTTCTGCCGATAGAGACGATGATGGTGAAATACAAACAGAGCTTCGCGCATGCCCACCAAGACGTCCAGGCCTTTTACGGAGAAGAGTACCTGGACAAGGGTATGTTGTTGTTGGTTTGTTGTTTTACGCCGCACTCAGCAATGTTTCAGTTATATGACGGCGGTCTGTAAATAATCGAGTCTGGACCAGACAATCCAGTGATTGACATCATGAGCATCGATCCACGCAATTGGGATCGATGACATGCATCAACCAAGTCAGCGAGCCTGACCACCCGATCCCGTTAAACAAGCATAGTCGCCTTTTACGGCAAGCATGGGTTGCTGAAGACCTATTCTACCCCGGATCTTCATGGGTACAATGGCACATGTATTACAATAGACACGGGTCGACAAGGGTATGTATGTATGTCCAAGCAATATACAGTGAAACCCGTTGATCCGGACGGTAATACACAGATAAACAGAACAAATTACTGGATTAACGAATTGTGGTACTTTTGTTAACTTTATTCGTAACAGTTCCTGCTTCCATATGTTCGGATTAACGGGGTCCTGTCAAACGAGGTTTCACTTTATCCGCCCTAGTGATATATATATCCGGATCGGATCCCGGTTCGCCCCGATTATGTTTCAAGGTTTGTCAGCACCATACCGTGCTCGCGGGTTTCACCGAAGTGGTAAACGTCTTAGACCTTCATCACTTCGGGCTTTCCTCCCACATTAAGCTGACACGCCGCGATATAACTGTAATACTGTTCAAAGCGAATCTTGTTAAAAACGATTGTTTAAAAACCCAACTCACTCACTCTTGTTTGTTCTTTCAGCGTTGAAACATTGTCATGACATTGACTCCTTGACGTCGTCTGACCTGTCACAGGTGACACGGGCCTACGTGCACGCGGTGACTGCTCGTTTCCCTCGGGCGCGTTATATTGTGGGTAGAGACGCTAACATCGTGTTCCGGGTGTTGTGGAATCTCCCCTTGTGGATGAAGGACCGATTACTGACGTTCAATTACATCCAACCCGAAGGCACGACAACACCGCGGGATGGCGGGACACCATCATGAAATTGTGAAAAGGACGGTACCATTTACTCAATACAAAAATCGTAAACACCAATGTCCTTGAGAGTACCAGAAAACATGGACGTTGGTCAATTCCTAATTCCAATTCAAATGACGACCATCACATGATGGGACGAAGACACTGATTAACAATAAGAATTGACCTAGTTCCTGTGGTAAATCCTGCAGTCAAATCTTTACAACACTTCGAATCTTGAATGAGTTGGGGGGAAGACACTTGACGGTCTTCGTTCGCTGTTGGCATGCAATAAACGTACAGTATTATATTTCCGTATCTACAAGAAGGCCCTTGGCTTGTCCCTGAATGAATGAAGTTTGTGAGACATCCTTGCTCGAGACGCTTCAGACAATGGTATTTTACCATCAGTTGCAAAAGAAATGTCTAAATTGTTTATGTATAATTTTGTTTACAAATGACATTACTCCGTAATGCAGACATTTGATAATTCTGGCAATTTTTTCGGGATCGGTGCTGTCTGGATTAACGAGGTTTCACCGTATCCCCGTTAATGTCGGATCATTTAACAGATGTTCCAGACCGTCAGCCACAAGACGCCAGCACAACTTAAAATTGTTCAAATCATCAATGATATTGCCATGGACGGTACCGCGGAGGTCTTCTCTACATATAAAGGTGACTGTATATTTACAGACAACACTTGTCGTCGTGGCCCCTCGCGTCGTGTCATTCTGGGACAAGGAAGGAAAGATACAAGTGGCGATGTATACACTCGATGCTTTTTATCACTGTCGGCATTCAAAAACTTTGTCTTTTGTTTCAAGAAGGCCCATTCGTCACCACTCGCCCATTTCCGTAACCTGCAAGAATCTCCATTTCGGCTTATCCCGGAATGACATGAGTTGGTCACGATCATTCGTCACCACTCGCCCCTTTCCGTAACCTTCAAGAAGAAATAGTTCGCTATTCGGCCTGTCTCGGAATAACACGAGTTGTTCACGAATGGGTCACGATGACACGAACGTGAGTGACTACTGGAACTCGTTATTTTACGACCACCTGGTAAATAACATCACTAGATTGTCTAAATCCCACTGCTCAGGGATCTCTATGCACTTCGTGTCTTAAGGTATCATTCATTATTTAAACGAAATCTTGATCCTATTACTCGTAACTATAGACAGTTATGACGAATAGGTTCAATTGGTTGAAGCGTACGCGAACATCTCCAGTTCAAGGGGAGATAATTCTGATTGTGTTCCCATGTACCTAGTACCTGTCTCATACGTGTGTTTAATGGTGTAATGTGAAAATATATTCTGCGAAATACCTATTTATTAACTGTATCTTTATTCGTCACGTCACGACCATCCCAGGTCACGTCAGAACGACCTTTCGCGACCTTGACCGATCAATGAAAAGACTAACAAGCAGTCGGCATTAACCAATCAGAAAGCAGCTTTCTCGAGTTTTACGGCACGTGTTTCAAAATGGCGACCTCCATACCAGACAACGCTTTGAAAAATATCGATTCAAAATTTGAAAACTGAACAAAAGATATGTCCTGAATGTTTAATAGATGGCCGAGATTGTATGACAGTACTTTCCACGGTTTCAATTGTTTATCTCAATCCAACGTACAGCCCATAACTGTCGTTCGGAATGCCTCGTGTTAACCTTTTCGAGGTTGCATGACTTAGAAACACATTCCAAATGACAATTTCCCGATCTGGTAAGCGACGCTCTGATTGGTCAGATAAAACGGTCGTTCTGACGTGACCCGTAACGGGATGTCTTTAATCTTTGATTAGCGGTAGCGGGGACTAAGATTTAATTTAAAATGAGATTGCGGCGACAGAAATCATTCAGTACTGTGAAAGTTGCAGGTCAAGATTTGTTAATAAAAGATAAAAGTTAGTAATGATAAAATATATGTATGAAATCTTTCTTTATCACATTAAGTAGGACATTTCGGTATAGGTTTCAACACCGTCATCAAGCCTCTCAGAGAAGTAAACACCGAACAATGCACGTGGGTTAGCTTTATTGACAATACCGGTTCATACGGTTGCTTGGCAACAGAATCTTTTCTGAAATATAAACAGTGTTTATTGTGATACTATTTTCACATTAACTATGTACAGTAAAGTACGGTTATAACGAACTCAAAGGGACTGCTAATCTTAGTTCGTTATAACCGTAGTTCGTCATAATCATATATACAGCATAACTACAGCAAATAGTCGGGACCAAAAAAGTAAGTTCAGTATATCCGTAAGTTCGTTATAAGCGTGTTCGTTATAACCGTATTTTTACTGTATTCAACTTTCAATTGAACCTCAACACTTTTCTTTGCAAGACGTCAATGTACATCGTTTCATTTATAAAGATAGTACAGTAAAGTACGGTTATAACGAACTCAAAGGGACTACAACTTTTAGTTCGTTATAACCGTAGTACGTTATAAGCATTTATACAGCATAACTACAGCAAATAGTCGGGATAAAAAAGTAAGTTCGTTATATCCGTAGGTTCGTTATAAGCGTGTTCGTTATAACCGTATTTTACTGTACAACAATAGGTCGCCTTCATCTACGACGTTTACACAATAATGATAGAAGCATGTTCACGTGAATGACAGCTAGACTAATTTCATTTGAAAACATCCATGTTTTGAACTTATCATAACACTGGATGGTAACGTAAGGAAAATATGTGTAAAACAGCCTCATTTTAGAATTTGTCCGGGAAGTATTTTAAAAAAAGTATTTGAACACGAGCAAGTGTTTCACTTCCTCAAGAGGCTCAGATTAAATAAGCGCAAACGTACATGTAGGGTGCAAAAGTCATGTTGGGGCACGGGTGTTCTCATTGCTTGATATTCTCATGTCAGATAAGTGGGCCCTTTTTGCTCATTTATGAACGAGAAATATCAGAAGTACACAATTTAAAAGTGTAAGAAAGGATACGTGTCAAGCATTTGAACATGTCGTGATAATTGCCATACGTTTAATAATAATAATGATAATAATAATGATGATGATGATGATGATGATGATGATGATGATGATGATGATGATAATAATAAGTAGTAATAATAGTAGTAGTAGTATTTCCCGGAACATTTTAATTGTAATTTCCAGTGGTCCATAAAGGGCCCTCATCCTGACCTCCTCCTTTGATCATCACGGCCAAATTTCCTCTGGGGTCGGGGTTGTCCCGATTAACGAGGTTTCCGTCTCCATATGTTCCATCTCCCCACTCACAAAAAGTCTCCAGAACGCATTAATGGTCAATTCTGCAATGGTATTTGCATCACTTGTACCAGAGAGGGCTTTTCTGCATATATACTCTCAACTTTAGTATGTTGACATGAAACTGAACAATGCCAGTTTCATGAAAATGTCAGGTACTACTGTGTGTATGACAATCAGTCAGTTTGATTCAGTCCCCACAGGAACCCAGACCTCCTATCAAATGTGGAGTACTAGATATACGTGTATTTTATTAATGTTTGACACAACGAGAACTTTCAAAACAGGTTTAATGAACCGGCTTTAATGTGCAATATATGTATATTTAGTATACCGCAATGTATTCGCGTTACAAATATATTAATAAAATATATATGATCATTCGATAATTATTTGCCACTGTTCTCTATGTGTGTGAGTAAGTGAGCTGAGTTAACGCCGCTTTTAACAACCTTTCAGTTATATATCATGGCGTGCCTGCTTAATGTGGGAGGAAAGCCCCAAGTGATGCAGGTCTCAGACGTTTACCACTTCGGTGAAACCCACAAGCTTGGTGCAGGTGCAGGTGCTGGTTCTGGTGCTGGTGCTGGTGCAGGTGCTGGTTCTGGTGCTGGTGCTGGTGCTGGTGCTGATGCTGGTGCTGGTGCTGGTGCTGATGCTGGTGCTGGTGCTGGTGCTGGTGCTGGTGCTGGTGCTGGTGCTGGTGCAGGTGCTGGTTCTGGTGCTGGTGCTGGTGCTGGTGCTGGTGCTGGTGCAGGTGCTGGTTCTGGTGCTGGTGCTGGTGCTGGTGCTGGTGCTGGTTCTGGTGCTGGTGCTGGTTCTGGTGCTGGTGCTGGTGCTGGTGCTGGTGCAGGTGCTGGTGCTGGTGCTGGTTCTGGTGCTGGTGCTGGTGCTGGTGCTGGTGCTGGTGCTGGTGCTGGTTCTGGTGCTGGTGCTGGTTCTGGTGCTGGTGCAGGTGCTGGTTCTGGTGCTGGTGCTGGTGCTGGTGCTGGTGCAGGTGCTGGTTCTGGTGCTGGTGCTGGTGCTGGTGCTGGTGCTGGTGCTGGTGCTGATGCTGATGCTGGTGCAGGTGCTGGTGCTGGTGCTGGTGCTGGTGCCGGTGCCGGTGCCGGTGCCGGTGCCGATGCCGGTGCCGGTGCCGGTGCCGGTTCTGGTTCTGGTGCTGGTGCTGATGCTGGTGCTGGTGCTGGTGCTGGTGCTGGTTCTGGTGCTGGTTCTGGTTCTGGTGCTGGTGCTGGTGCTGGTGCTGGTGCTGGTTCTGGTTCTGGTGCTGGTGCTGGTGCCGGTGCCGATGCTGGTGCTGGTGCTGGTGCTGGTGCTGATGCTGGTGCTGGTGCTGATGCTGGTGCTGATGCTGGTGCTGGTGCTGGTGCTGACAACATAGCAACATTATCGGGGCGAACCGGGATTCGAACCTACGATCACTGCTCAAGGGAAGCAACTCTGCACAGCAATTTTGTATTATTTATGCACTATCCCAGCATGTCAGGCAGCGCATCTGTTATCGACGTCCCAGCGTCAGGGGGAGGAATGCTTATTGTGACGCAGCGCATGAACGTCTTTATCGTGAGGAACACAACGTTTCGGAGTCTATATATGTGTGTGTTTTGATGTTTATGATGTTTAACTCCGCACTCAGCAATATTCGAGGTGTATCGAGTCTGGACCAGACAATCCAGTGATTGACACGATGAGCATCGATCCACGCAACTGGGATACGATGACATGCATCAACCAAGTCAGCGAGCCTGACCACCCGATCCCGTTAGTACCATGCCGCAGTTTAACATGGATTCCTGGTTAATGTTTTACTTGGAAACCCCAAATACCAATTGGTTGAGATAAATATTCGAAACATAACATTTCTTTCTTTCCTTGACATATCTTAGATTATTTCAGTTGTAGGAATTGCATTGGATGCATCGGGGAATAAGTAATTAAAAATGACAACAGAAATGAGCAAGTGGTACGAATGTGTTCCGAACATTTGCGACTATTAATTTTGGACATCTGGCCGGAGGACTGCACGTAGATGGTTCAATTCACAATTCACGGAAGACGTTAAAAGATGTGACTTCTCTGCCTGGTATAAATGTATTAAGGATAGTCTGCATACTGTGTGTTTAGTGTTTTGGTTTGGTAAGCTGTATGTTAGCAATATTCCAGCTATATGACGGCGGTCTGTAAAAAAAGTCTTGGCCAGACAATCCAATGATTGACATCATAAGCATCGATCTACGCAATTGGGATACGATGACATGCATCAACCAAGTCAGCGCGCTGATCAGCCGATCCCGTTAGGCGCTATTTACGACTAGCATAGTCGCCTCTCACGGCAAGTATGGGTAAGTGAAAAACTTTTCTACCCCGGATCTTCATGGGACAGTGTCTGGGAAGGGTCCATGCACGTCCCCATATAAGTGCAACCATCTTGAAGGCGACGTAAACCACATTTCACCTCACCGCCTATTTTGGTCGTAAGTGAAGTGTTACTGACCAAATACCTTAACCTGAAGTATCGCCCCCCCCCCCCCCCCCCCCCCCCCCCCCACCCCACCCTCACCCCACCCATTGGTCATTGGTCCCATTTTCACGTATTTTATCCCCCACTGAATTATTGAACTGCTCGCTCTGCGTTGTGTCATCTCACCTTTCTGTTCATGTAATAATAAAATAACTTTATACTGTTGATACAACCCCCAGAACAAGTTGTTAACACTGGAATATCTTTCTTCTCATGAAGTTAAATTAAGAGTGAGTGAGTTCCAGTCATGTCGTTGCGGGGACACAAAGATTGGCCTTTACACATTGCACCTATGTTGAGAATCGAACCCGTGTTTTCGGCCAAAGTTTTAACCAACAGACTACCCCACAGCCTAAGTGCATAATAAAACGCTTGCAATTAAGGCCCGGAGAGAGGTGGGTTAGAACAACGCCCCCACGGAAGAGGCGACTAATTTTGGGTCAGGGGTCAGGGGTCAGGGGTCAGGCTCGGTGACTTGGTTGATTTTGTATCATCGGTGTTCATAATGTTAATCACGGGTTTGTCTGTCTACAAGTAAAAACGAGAGGCTTTGGACTTGCAGGTTTTTTCAGACTTCAGTAGACTTCTCAGACCAGAAGCAATTAATTTACACTGGGTCAGTCAGTGAGTATGGTTTTACGCCGTATTGCAGCAATATCACGGCGGGGGACACCAGAAATGGGCTTTACACATTGTACCTATCTGGGGAATCGAACCTTAGTCTTAGCCGTGATGAGCGAACGCAGGTTGTCGACAGCGTTCAACCACACTGCGGGAATGCAGTGTTTCTCCCGATTATAGCAAGACGTCATCACTTCGTGACTGCCACCACACTTAGAAATGACCTGCGGAACGCCAGTGGCGTTTCTACTCAGACAGTGCGCAGTCTTCTCCACGAGGCTGGTCTCCGGTCACAGTAAGCATGCATTCACCACTGACAAGCCATCACAGGCAGGCACGTTTGGAATGGGCTGAAGATCAAGTCATTTGGACAGACCAAGTCTGGGCTCCAGTACTTTTCACTGATGAATCGAGAAACTGTTAAGACTTTACAGATCACCGTGTCCGAGTGTGGCGTAGACAAAGAGATTCAGGATTCCAACGTAGCTTAACATGACCGCTATGGAGGGGGCTCAATCATGATTTTTGGTGGTAATCAGTAGAGCTTGAAGAACCGATCTCCTTGCTTAGAGCGGAGCATTAAAAGCGCAAAGGTCAAATAAAGATCCAAACATACGGAACCCGAGGAGCCCCCGCGGTTTTTCCCGACCCCCAGGGCATGCTCTGTCTACCAAAACCGAGGGAAAGTGTTTTTCCATACTTATAAACCGTCTAAATTGATTAAATGTTATAACGAGCATCTATAAATGAGGCGCTTCATTATTGCGCTTCCTTGAAGACGTGATATCATCACTTGCACGTGAAATTCGCTGACTTGCCAGGCGTTCAAGAGCACTTGGATGTGTCAACAACAAATCACAACTAAAATACTTACTTTTAAATGAAAGTGAAATCTTCGGTTTCTAAATGTTTGTGTTGCAATATTCCACTTCTTTTAAACTTTTCAAAACGAAAATTCGCAAATTTTAAAGGCGATTTTTGCTTTACAAGATTTTCGACTTTAAACAATCCATCTTTTACATAGGGGGTAGTTGTGACGTAACAGTTAGCAGTTACTGCACGTGCAAATTGTGCAGCATTGATAAGCACTTGTTTAAAAGCACGTGTTTTGAAACCTCGCTCACCAGAGACTCTGAAGTGATGTCGCTTTTAAATGTCCACGCGGAACAGTGCACATGACAATCAATTTTAATTGAATTAAAATTTTGAATTGCTACTTGTCATTTTTTCAGTTACTTGGTTAAACCTGGGATTTGAGGTTTCACATTCAAAGTAAAACCTCCCGAACGAAAATAAAACCTCATAATAGGTTTTACTTTGAATGGGTTTATAAGACGGTGTCAAGATGCTGGACTATGCACGGGGCTAGGTTCCTGTGGAGGAAAATATCCAATATGGATGAAAGGTGAATCTAGATATATACTCACTTGATAAGGATAAAACTATTTTTAAACGTTACTTATTATAATTTGTATATACATGGAATATAACTGCTGTCCCTCTTGAATATCTCAAATAGATCTTGTTGTGTGTCCACGCATCCCGTCTGCGTGGGACTTGCTCAGAATAGTGTTATACGGCAACAGTAAACATATACAAGAAAGTATACAGCCACTTTTATGGATGTTTACAGAATGTGCGAAATAGATTGACATAAAAATAACTACGACAATATGAAACACGTTTGTCTGACGGTTTGATTGACATTCTAGAAGTTGGTGAGTGAATAAGAAAACGTACAACTTCTGGATAACAACTTTTGGTTTATTGCCCACTGTGAAGTTTCGATGTAGACTCGTACACCGTTATCACAACATCTGCATCCATACCACACTCCTCTCTTGGCTGTAGACACTCTTGGTTGATATCGGTGTAAGAATGCTGCACCGTTTGAGCAAAAAATCTTTCAAATCTTCGTAGATTGCCGATTGAAACTCGAAGTTGAGATTCATAGTCACTAAAGGCTGGCGTTGCTGGAATATGGCTCGACATTAAGGGAAAGTTGGGGCTATTGGAAAATTGAAGTCATACCTCTTGTCATACAGTCTTTGTCAGTGAGTGAGTGAGTTGGGTTTAACGCCGCTTTTAACAGTATTCCAGTTCCATATCACGGCGTGTCAGCTTAATGTGGGAGGAAAGCCCGAAGTGATGCAGGTCTCAGACGTTTACCACTTCGGTGAAACCCACGAGCACGGGTATGGTGCTGACAAACCTAGAAACATAATTGGGGCGAACCGGGATTCG